TGTTTCAAGACACATGTAAGGATTCTCACAGACACAAATATTTACAGTAGCTGTTGTTGTTTCTTGGCGGGAATTTCGCTGATCGATGAAGAGAGGCCTTATCTTCTACAGATTTTGTCTTTTTCTTTTGAGTATCTTGATGCCAATAATTGATATAGACATATGAATACTTGATGGAGTGAATCTTCAAGGCTGGTCTTCCGTAGAAAAATTACGAAATTTCAAAGAGTCAAAAAAAAATCTAAGTAGAAACATAGATTTTGTGACTATAATACTTCCATAATTAGAGATTTAAAAAGTTTTATAAAAAAAATTATCAAATGTTTCAGTGTGGGGCCATATGGGAACCATTTTGTGTGGATTCCACATCCTGGATAGAACTTGGGTAGAACTTTTGATAGAATTGTGTGGATTCCATATTGTGTGGGCGTCTCTCAGATTGTTCTATATTATATGGGTTTCACATCCATATAAGATATTTTGTAAAATTTTTGATAGAATCTTTTTAGTCTCTAATATTATTCTAAAATTAAAAATTTAAAAATTAATTACCAAAAATTAAATATTTAATTTTTTAAATTAAAAATTTTATTTAGCGGGTGTTTAAAAAAAAAATTAGTTGAACAAAAATTAGAGTGTCAAACTGTATTTTTTTATTAAAAAAAATTTAAAAAATTGATTTCATTCTTTCTATTCTCATAAGTGGTGGTGGTGGTGGTCATGTTTGAGGACAATGGAATAGGTAGTGTAGTATTAGAATAATAACTTACCCAGCAAAATAAAAATAAATAAATATTAGAAGAATGAGGAATTTCCGAACTAAAATAATTATATATTTTTATTTCATTCTAATTAAATATAATATTTTACACTTTTTATTTAATCATTTATCTCGTCTATTATTCTCAGGAAATTTTACAACGCATATTTCTTATTATATGCACTTTTAGTTACACCATTTTATTATTTAGTTACGATCAATTTTATTTATTTTTAGTTATGACATTATTTTGAGATATTTGATTAGCCTCATGTAATGTTTAGTTATAACTTATTCTTTTTTTAAGTTATGACTCATAAAGTATGAAGTTACGTCATTTTGTTCTTTAGTTATAAGATGCATATAGTACATAGGCCATGTTTGTTTGGGTGGACATGAGTTTGAGATTGGACTAATAGTCCAATAAAATTATTAATCCGATGTTTGGTTAAACAATTGAAGTACGGATTAATTATTTAAAACTTGACTATTAGTTAAGATAGGATACATAATCCAACGGATTCGTAGTCTTAGGACTATTTGTCATGGAAATGCTAATCCAGTCCGCCCAAACAAACATGGCCATAGAGTACACACCCTTTAAGGGATGTGTACCGTAGTCTTTCCCATTATCCTATGATATAATTTATGAGATTAGGGTGTGTATAGTGAGGCAAGGTGCAGTACACAAACGATGAGTTAATTTAGTATGGCTTTTTAATTTTTTTAACTATTTTAGCCACATTGAAAAACTTATGTTTGCGATAAATTTTGTTTTTTTAGTTTATTTGATAGTTGTAAAAAAAAAGAAGAAATAATTATGATTTAAACGTGACATTTTATTTTATTAGTTAAATTAGTCTGTTTTATCTTTATTGATTAATTTAACAAAAATAGCTCATGCCAATCGAGACCTTAGGTTAGTTTTATTTTTATTTTTTATTTGTGTTTAAATTATAAGAAGTTCTACAACACACGGTTAAAAAAAAAGGGTGTAACTGTAGTACTCTTTCCATCCTAAAATATTGATCCCTTTTGAAAAACTTAGCATTTTTTTTGTAGTATAATTATTACACCTTAAAAATATAGTACCACTTTATATCGTAATTAATTTTTTTTAATCATAACTAAATAATAATAGATTATAACTAAACATGACATATTCAAATACCTCTTTTATCATAATTAAAATAACAATTATAATAAATCATAATCAATATGACAATGGGCTATAACCAAAATTACAATAAAAATTATAATTAGAGTATTGGTTGTGATAGAGAGCTGTAAAAGTAGACGTCTACTTATGTGGTAATGAAAAAAAAAAGAGACCAAAACATCACATCAATGATGGATCCCACCTATTAGAGCTCCTTTAGAGTTCTTAATTTAGAGCTCTCAAACATTTTTGATAGAGCATATAATATTACCTTTTTATAGGGTATGTGTTATAACAATTTTGTGAATGTACAATGTTTGACCGCCACAAAAATATTAAAGGGCAAATTACCTACACCTCTCTCGAGATTTAATTAAATTACAGATTTTCTTCTGAGGTTTTAGAAATTATATCCCACCCTCCGAGGTTTATATTTGCATAACAATTTAACCCCTACCGTTAACTAAACGTCAAGAATGATTAGCGGACTTCACCAAAATATAAATTAATGGACGATATTAACCCTGCTGAAATCTCTTTAATAAATCAACAAAATTTATAAAAGAATTACGTTAAATGGGAAAAAAAATTTAAGGTTTTGGAATCATGTTTGATTTGTTGTTTAAAAAAAATTTCATAATTTGAAAAAAATAAATATGAAAAAATATATTTAGTTTGTAAAAATTATTTCTAACCACTCAAAAGATAAAGTTATATAAAAATAATATTTATTTTTTATTTTTATTGATTAACCAAATTAATTTTTAATTTTTAAAAAAATAAATTTCTAAAAATCAAACCAAACATATTCTAAGAATTTTTTGATAAGCCATTTCTTGTATTTTTAACTTATTTAATTATTTTTTAATTTTATGATAATTTCACCACCTGACACCACAATATACAAGAGTTTGAGAGATCAATATTTTTGATCTCTAAAAGTGAAAATTTTGTTGCAAAAGACGTTTAGGGATTACTTTCTATCGTCGTGAGGATAGTTACTAAAAGATCACCTAAAAAGTCAAAAATAAGACCTTTAGCGATAAAAATTCGAAAATGTCAATAATAAATAGAATTTTAGGGACAAAATAATTTGGTCTCAAAATGGTTTATTTTTTGAGAAAAAAAATTTGATACCAAAAAGATAATAATTAATCATTAATGTTTAATTTTTGTTGCTAAAAATATAATAGCGACACTTTTCGCAACAAAAATATTTGATTCCCTAAAAATAATTTTCTCCCTAAATTTTAATCTCTAAAACATTAATTTTTTGTAATGTGATAAGTGTTTTTTCATTTTAATTTTACATTTCATAACTTATTTAAAAATGATAATTTAACTAAACCTCAGGAGAGAATCTACAATTTAGCTAAACCTCAAGGAGGTATAGGTAATTTGCCCTTATTTATAAAAAAAGGCATTTTAATCAATTTACGATATCTGTTAATAATGTTAATTGCAATGGGACGGAATCTGATTTTTGAAACCTCAGGTGAAAATCTGTAATTTCGTTAAACCTCAAGGGAGGTGTAGGTAATTTGCCCAATATTATATGTTAACAAGTTGGTATGCAAAAATTTTAGGGTAAATTACAAATACACCTTATGAGATTTGTTTAAAATACAGATTAGCCCCTATAGTTTCAAAAATTACAAATACCCCCTTATTAGAATTTTTTATTTAATAAAATTAACTGAAAAAAATAAAATTTATAATTATTTTCCTATACAATAATAAAATTACTTAAATTATTTATTAAAACATATTTTTAACATCATTAAAAACTGTTAATTGACTTAATGATTTATTAATAAAAGAGACAATTTGTTATGAAATTAGAAAGCTCAAAAAGTGAAATGTAATTTTCAATACCACAAAGAGGCGATTCGTATTTTAATAAAATCTCAAGAGTGTATTTACAATTTATCCTAATTTTAAGAGGTTAAATTACATTTTGCCCTTTCTTTTATGTTTTATCATTTTTTACTTTAATCTATAAAATTTTTTCCCCTCACTTTCATCCTCATATCATATTTTAAATGTTTCTCAATTTACTTAACAAAGTTAACTTGTATTCATATTTAAATAGAAAATCCAACGCTAGGGGTTGTTTGGGATGTCTTAAAAAGTATATATTTTGAATTTTTAGACTAAAAAGTTGAGGAAAAAAATATGATTGTTTGGATTAACTTTTTGACTTTTTATGGAAAAGTATGTATTAAAAAATTGTATAAATTAGTGTGTAGGAAAAAATTAGAATTGAGAGTTGTGCAGCCGTAATTTTTGACTTTTGGTGAATAGTGATAACCTTTTAACTTTTTGAGTAACTTTTAAATTTTTTGACTTTTTGGCCACATGGCAAACTTGGCCTAAGTGACATATGACATAAATGAAATATTATTTTATTTGAATTTAAGTTTAGGTCAAAGATATATTATTTTATTTGAATTTAAGTTTAGGTCAAAGATATAAATTAAATATAATAATATATTTAAAGTTATATAACAATTAATGTAACATTTTCTATTTATTTTTGAATAATAATTAATTTTAGGAGTAATTTTTTTTTTTTAAAAAAAAAAAACAACTTAGAAGTGGGATGTAATGGACCAAAATGGGAAAGAAAAAGGGATACTTACGTGTAGGTCCTAATAAGTGGATTTATTGTTTAATAGATCTTATAGAAAAAATTTGTAATAAAAGAGTCACTATTTGTAAGTTTTAGCGATAATTTATAAAAATAATGATAAGAAAATTACTAATTTTTAATTTTTAGCGACATTTATAAAAAAAATTCATGAATTTTTTTTTTTAATAATAATTTTATCAAAACTTATTTTTAATAAAATTTGATAAAAATAAAATCTAAGAGCTATTGCTAGTTTAGCAAAGGAAAACCTGAAGAGTCTTATTACGCGGGGTTTCGCGATCCCATTTCTTTATAAGAAATTTTCAGAGTCAACCAAACAATTTTCGACACGTGGCCCCCCAGAAAATGAGCTAGTAAAAGATCCGACCCGAATTCAGGATCCGAAACCTCAACTGACTTTGGCCGGCGTCGGTTTACAAGCAAAATCTCTTTTCACCTCTCTCTTTATTCTCTCTCTCACGCTCAGAAATCTACGATCTTCTTCCTCAAATTCGAAGCTTCCAAATCCTTCTCTTCCACATTCGTCTTCTCCGATCGTCAAATCTCAAACCCTAATTCTCACAATCCTTCAATCAATAAAGAGAAAAATCAATACTAAGATCGATCACAACACAGAATTCAGATATGCAACAAAGCGATACAGGCTCTTCATATTACCAATACTACCAATCACACATTCAAAACCCTAATCCTAACGATCTTCCACAGCTCAACCCCTTTCCTTCTTCTTCTTCTACCTTCGCATCTGCTCCTCCAGTTTCGTCCTCCGATTACTCTTCTTCTAATTCTTCCACATACCCTCCATATTCACAATACACCACCGATCATGCCCTCAATCCGCCTCTCCTCTACCCACCAAACCCTAATTCTCAATCACCCAATCTCTCTTCTCAGCCCTACAATTTCCCTCACCTCAATCCCCAACCGACGCAGCAGTATTATGGTTATGATCAGAACCAAGAGGCTTTCAATTATGATAATTTGAATCCGACCCATAATTCCAATCCCAATTCGACTTCTTATTCATCGGCTGTGTCGAATTACGAAAATTTATATGAGTCTGGTTCGAATTATGGTTTGTATGGGGATGTGGGGAAGCAAAGGCCGGAGGTTGGATCCAGGTATGGAGACGGTGGGGATGGTGTATATGCATACAATGGGAGCAAAGTTGTGCCTTATGGTGGTGGAGGCAGTGGTTCTGATTCTTCTTCTGGTGTGATTTTTGATGATTATGGGAGGCCAGTTGGTTTTGCAAATGGGAAGGAGCAAAATGGATCCAGACACACGGGGAAGGTGGTGAAGGCAATTCCGAAGACAGAGATGCAGCAGGACGGGGGTAGCGGTGTGCAGAAGTTCCGCGTCAAGATCTTGTCGGAAGGTGCTGGTCAGAGCGACATGGATGTTCTTTGCCAGGTTTGAGAGTAAAAGGACTTGTCTTTGATTGTTATTTTTACTTCATAATTCAAATTGTTTCTGTTTGACTGCTAAGTTATAATTGTGCTAGGTTGAAAATATCAGAGTGATTCTGTTTTACATTTACAATTACTAGCTAAATTGTCTTGAATCTATTCTTCATCAGATGGTATTGTTTCCATTAAATTTGATGACATGATTCTTGAACTGATTTGATTTTGGCAACTGTTGTTTGCTCGCAGAAATTAGTTTAAAAAAATAAATAAAAAATACTTCATTTGACAAATTTTGAAAAATCATGATGGGTCTCTAATTTTTATTCCAGATTGGCTTGGATGGGATTCGAATACTTGATACAGCAACTAGTCGGACACTAAGAATATATCCACTTGAGACCGTGACACGATGTGAAGTACACTCTCTGCTTTGTCTTATTCGTAACTTGCAAGCAAATTACTTCTAGAATTAGCATTGAGGATTTCCCCCCCTCTCTTTTAGGTACTGGATTCGTATATATTTGCCTTTTGGGCCAAAAGCTCCATTGACATTGAACTGAGACGTGTCAGGCTTAAATCAAACAGCTATACCACAAACAACATTCTAGACACGGTGACAGCAGCAACTTTTCAGGTTGGGGATCTTATATTATTGTTCCAGTTTGAGGTTTACATTTTCGTTGGACTTAATGTAGTTTATGATCATTTTTTATATGCTGTGTATTGGAAGGTTGATGCTATTAATGCAAATGCCATAATTCTTTCCATGAGAACTAGTTTTCAATTTTAAAGTTCATATTTGTGCTTATTTTGAATCCACTTATGAAATGCTGGGGTGACAAAATTGATTTTGTTGTCTCACAGTTAAGGTTGAAGCTTTTCAGAGATACACATGTCAATTTAGGAACAAATGAGAAGGGCAACTTTAAAAATTTTAGATCATTGTGGACGGCATAATAACTGTGTTGCCAGGGGAACTCCCTAGCTAACCAACTATTTGCATGTCTTTGGGTCAGTTTGTTCTTGCAACTGTTAGAAGAAATTATAGACTATAACTTAACAAAATATAGATTATGGCTTTGAGTAGAAGCTGTTGACTTGTTTGGTGCAGTTGTTGATTATAGGTTGAAGTAGGAGTGTAGTGTTTGATTAAATAATTTGCAAAATAGCTTTTGGTCATGTAATTATCCTTTTTGCTTTGTCAGATGTTTTGTAGAAGTGGATTTACATTGACTTTTTCATGTTCAACTAGTGTAAAAGTTATTCAAAATAAAACTTGTATAGACTATATTACAATTTACATGTTTAGGCATACCAATATACGTAACAGATTTAATGGCCCATTGCACTATTAAAACCAAATAAAACAACTAATTCCAAGAACAAAGAATTTCCCCAAAATTTCCTGAAACTCTAAATGTGAAAAAATTTGCCGTGATTTCCCCAAATGACCTTTACATGGTTCTTTCTAGTGACAAATTTATGACATGATTGTTTATCTGGCACAGAATTTGATTGGCACCTGTTCTATTAGATATCTAAAGGTAACACATTATTCTATTTACTTTGTATTTGAACAACTCCCTTATGATTCTCATTGGGAAGCAGATCAAGGAGATGGCTGGGAGAAATAAACCTTCTGATACTCCCAAGGCCTCTGAGCAACTATCTGATAAGAAGAAAGGCTTTGCTGATTGGATGAACTTGATGAAGCCCAGCAACGAGGAGAAAGATCACTGGGTAAAATTTGTTATGCCATTGTGTTGATTTAGTACGTGTTATTCGTTGTTATAGCTGTGCATGGCTGATTAAGTTTTTCATTTGTAAAAATATTCAATAGTGACCAATTAATTCTATAAAAAAAAAATTCTCTGTTTTTGTCCTATAGGTTCCTGATGAAGCTGTTACCAAGTGCACATCTTGTAGGACGGATTTTGGAGCTTTTGTGCGAAGGGTTAGAATTTATATGAATTTTTTGATTGGCCATTAGTAACAGTGATTGGAGTGAAACTCATGTCTCCTTTGATGATCGTTCTATTCTTTTGTTCCTTTCCATTTTCAGCATCACTGTAGGAACTGTGGGGATATTTTCTGTGACAAGTGTACCCAAGGTAGAATCGCCCTCACAGAAGATGAGCATGCCATACCAGTTCGAGTTTGCGACCGATGCATGGTATGCACTCACTACACTAGCTTTCTTTTGAAGTGTTTTTACTATTCTCAAGTATGTTATAGGGACAAAAGTTATCTCCCTCTCTCTATATAATATAGTCAAGCTCTCAAAGGTATATATGCAACCTTTTGATGCAGGAAACAATTATTATTAAGGTTTGGTTGTTGGTTAAAACGTGGAAAAATTTAAGGAAAGAAAGTGGAGGAGAAGGAAGAATATAAAAAGAGCCTAGGAAACATCCTAGGACCTTAGGCCTTCATCTTTTCAAAAGCTTCATCACACACACTACATTAAATTTAAGCTTCTCTCCTTTCCCTAATAGCTCCTTTCAGTTCACTTTCATATGTGTTTGACACTCTCTGCCCACAAATTTTGCACAAGAAACCTTCCTGTTCATTTTCCCCCTTCCCTTAACTTGTTTGGTTGTTCCAGACAGTGGGAGAAGGAAATGGTATTAAAAGAAAGGAAATAGTAAGACAGCCTCTACAACCCCAACCCAATGCCAACAACCTTCTACCTCAAAAGCTGTCATCAGTCAACCCCAATTTTAGACCTAGTACCATCACTTTTTGTGGCTCTCTTTACCTCGTAAACTCTTTCACCAGCTCTCCAGTCTCATCACTTCCAATACACCACGATCCCCACAGCACTGTAGTTACACAGCCTTAAATATAAAACAGGATCTGAGGATGCCATATCATTGACTGGAAGACAGGAAGAAATGTGCATATCAGATATGGATCTACCTTCCCCCACATTTTCTTTTATGTTTGTTTAATTAGCAAATGAGAAGCTTACTTTTGCAGATATTCCATTCTCCTCGAAACCACAACACCCCCAACCCACACACATGCACAAAGCCTGTGGTCAGGTCTACAACTGTGGATGAGATAATACGAGGCCATGATGGATAAGTATGCTTGAGAAATAGTACTGAGAACACCTTGAGACATCATGGAAGATTCCTCTAGTTGTGATTAATTTTAGCAAATATATCAATACCTTCAATCTAGTAGGTTACTGCGAGTCTCTTTATTCATGGTTTTTCTGCAGATTTATTTATGTTTATTTATTTTTTAATTTGGTTTCAGTATTTTTTAACATGAAACATACAACTTGATATTCTTGCAAGATCTTGAAAGTTTGCTTTTTTTCCCCTCATGATTGGTCTGGGATTTATGCCTTTCTCCATGGTTTGTTCTTTTTGCAGGCAGAAGTTACTCAAAGGCTGGGTAATGCAAAGGAAACATCTGGAAAAATTGCTGCTTTGCAGAGCCACGAGGATCTTGCAAAAAGACTCAAGGTAAATGCAGTTTTATAACCTAGACATCACGTTTTAAGCTGCATTACTAGGTTTATGTAATTTCAAGTGACCTCTCCAACATTCTTATCCTTTTCTTTTGTTTTATATATATGCGTACACTTCTACATCAACATTGTAGAGAACTAATTTCTTCATTAAGGTATTAATTTCAAAGCTGAATACATGTTTCTACAACCTGATGCTTGTGTTTTTGTTTCCATTGATGTTAAGGCTCAACAAATAATGACTTGCATCATTTGTAAATATTTTTAAGTTGAATAACATAATTCTTTGAGTTCAATAAAAGAAAGCTTGAAGAGTCAACTACACTGCATAATTGGCAGTCAAGCAATTTGCAAAATTCATGGTTTGATTTTAACACTGTTAGCAATATGACCTATGTGTGCCTTTACCTGGCACACACAAGTGCACAGATTGCGCACTATAATGTTGTTTGTGAGATAGTACCTGTGTCTTAGCTATTTCTTGCCACAATAACAAATCTAGATTTTTTAAATAGACAAATCTAGTTACGTAACTTGTAATTATAATTATATTATATTTTATTGTGATGCCATTTTAACCTGAAAGTTTATTTTGAAAGCTCTCTGGGGGTAATGACTCAAAATCTTACCAAACTAATTGAACCTTAAACATTTCTTCCTTATTGTCAATAAAGGTCTTGAAAGGATCTACCCAATCTCTGTACTGTTCCAATAGTGAACCTCTTTTTTGGACATTGATGCTCTGCCTTGTTTGTCTTCCTTCAGAACTTGGTACAATGTTAATTAAGGTGTTGTTAAATGGAGGTTGTTTGGGAGGATTATATGCGGGAAAATCTTGGTTTAGAAATAAACTTGATCCCCAGCATACTAAACTTCTATCCATTTCTGTACCAGCCAATTTTTATTGACCCCCTCTCAATGCATCTGCCAAGCTTAGTGTGATATAAGTAGGAGCAACTTTATTATGCAGCCAATACCCTTCTTGAAATCCTTCAGGCCCAGATCCTCTATCAGCTAAAACTGTTGGTAGACTTTTCTGAATCTTCTTATGGAAACAAGTGATTACTAGTAATACACGATTGGTGCCCAGGAGTACCATGGCTTAAGATTTGTCTTTGTTGAGTTGAAACAACTGTTATACAACCTTCTTCTTTTATTTTCTTGTTGTTGGGGCCTTCAAGGTAAATTGATGTCTGTTGCAAAGGTGTGCTTTGCATTGTTTTTGCAATAGTAGTAGTAGTAGTAGTAGTAGTTGTAGTAGTAGGTCATGCTATCCATGTTAATGAATAATATACACTAATTTCCTGATGTGGTTGATGATTTCTAACAGGAGGAGATGGACAAGAATCGCATGACCACCACAGGTACTCATCATTACTGAAACATTTGCCCTTTCAATTTTAGAGACATCACAATCTTATCGTCATTTTACTTCTGAAATATATATATATATATATATATGTACAGAGAGAGAGAGAGAGAGAGAGAGAGAGAGATGTACATTGGGGGGGGGGGAGGAAAAGGAAAGAAAACAGACCTGGACCGATTCAGGTACGAGTTGCATTCCATTCCATGTGGTACCATTTTGTTGGCTTCCCCATTGCAGTTGCGCAAGGGTGTCATGGGATCTATCAGACGAACCTAGGTCGTAGACTGTATTGCCATTTGATCCTTTTGGTATCAACCTTGGATCTCCTGAAGAAACCTATTTATCTGAATGCTTCCCATGCAAATTGCTAGGGCCACCCTACTTTCATCTTGGTTAGAGTTTTCCAAAAACGCATTTCAAAAAATTTTACTTTCTTATTTTCCGTATTTTTTTTTACTGAATTTTTTTAATATTTTAAGCAATTTTTAAAAAAATTTAGACATACCTAACATAAATATATCTAAAAAGTAAAAAATTTGTGAAAAAAAACCTTTTAAAAATTCACTAAATACCAAAAATACAAAAAAAAATATGAGAATTCAGTACATTTTTTGTATTTTTATGTATTTATTAATTTTTTAAAATATTTTTTCACAAATTCTTTACTTTTTAGATACATTTAAGTGAAGTGCATCTAAAAAAGTAAAAAAAATATTTAAATTTTTAAAAATATTCACTAAAAACAAAAAAAAATGCGAACTCAATTTTCAAAAAACTTAATCCAAAAAACTCAAACCAAACACTGATTTTTACAGGTTTAACATCCAATGGATCTGGAATGCGGATGAAGGAAGTTGCTTGTCCGACTTGCACAGTCCACTTGCAGGTTTGCCATCCCTCACCACTTCAAAATTGCTTAATTTTTTTGTTTCTTTTCAAAAACTAGAAACGAGTTTTAACAAAAACAAACAAACACCAAAAATATGTATCTTTAAGTTTTGAAAAATTATATTCGACCCAAAAAAGGAGAATCAGTTTATATTTTTCTCACCAGACTAGTTTTTGGTTTTTCAGAAAGCAGATTTTGAAAACCCATACAAAGTATTTTTGGATTTTGCACCTTCACACAATGTTTTTTGAAAAGTAGGGCATTAACAATAATAGGGCAATCCTGATTCCACATGGACAATTAGACATCCAATCTGTGATCGCAAATTACGTTGACAAGTATATCTTAACCGGTGTATCATGGGGATTTGTTGCAGGTCCGGGTTCCAGCATCGGGTTCTGAGACAATAGAGTGCAGTGTTTGTCAGCATCCATTCCTTGTCAGTGCTAATTGATCAGCAACTCCCATGTTCATGATGATCAAGTTCTTGTACACCTTATTATATACTTAAAAAGAACGATACCTCTTTGGGCTTCAGCCTCTTTTTTACCAAGAAAAAGAAAAAAAGAACAATACCTCTTCATACAAACAGTCATAATTTTTCAAACCTTTTTTTGGGAGTTTCACTGATTAAGAAGAATGTGTGTAGTCGCCAATTTTTTTTTTTTGTATTTATATTTCTTCAATAATGTGCTACGTAATTCTCTGGTGTGTGGACTTGTGTTAATGTTTCCAATGAATATTTTTTCTTCTTCAGGTGTATTGTATAACTTTGAATGCCAGAGTTCTATTGATTACCTGTTGACATTTTGAAATGGCCAGGAGTTTTCTGGTTGTCTTTGTTTTTATTTTAATGAAAATTTTGTTTGGCTAACGGAAATTAAATTTTAAATTTCTTTTTCCTAAAAAAAACCCACTTTTCAAGATATGTCATAAAGTTACTTTTGCACAAACACAAAATGAGGTCTACAGATATGACAATCAAACAATGCATTAGATACTTTAATTTCATTTGATATCATTATACGCATTAATAAATTTTATTTTATTTTTAAAAATAAATGATCATTATAAATTTAAACGTAAACTGTTCATTTAATAAAATATATGTAATTTATTTATAGATATTCAATGAAATTAATTTTTTAAACAAGCGGTATTCATTACAAAATTTATGAGATGATAGTTTGGATCAACATAGTGGGCTCAGCGTGGTGCTCACGAAATGAAGTAAGAAAAAACATAGGGATAGTATTATGGAGAAACCATTTCCGAAAGATACATCACAAACAATGCCCAAAGTGCTGTAACAGATATAGAAATAAATAAACCAAACAGACACTAGAACTAATTTTCCCATCAAACAGGCAACCGTTTCTTAAAACTAGACAAATATATTTAACTAACTATATACAAGTAACGACTTTGAATAAAATTATTTGAATAACACTAGCCCAATCTTCCAATTTCTAATGCAAACCCTGAAATCTCCATAGACACCTAGTATAACTGCCCCCATCAAAACTACAATTGCATCCTGTCTACTCCAACTACTACCAGAGATATATAGAACACAAACTATATACATATATAGGAAAAAAGAAACAGAGAAGGATAAGAAATAAACCACTCTCGAAAAATCAACGAAGTTTATTCTGAGCAACAGCCTGGCATAGCTCATCTTCATAGAATAAAACTCGATTGGAAGCCAAAGATTTGCATAGGGGCTTTGGTAAAACTGAGGGGACAATACACCTAGAAGGGAAGACTGACTCCTGGAAAAGAACAGCAGCAATTTGGCGCATCTCCGGGCACTTGAGACGAAGAGGTGGGCGGGGACCATGCCTCGGTGCTTTAGGGGTATGTGGGCTAGAAATCCAAATACCCTTTCCGTTTCCCTTGCTGCAAGGAAATAGCATAATGCAAAAACTCAATGGTAGCAAAATAAGGATTTCATGATAAAACCAATGATACAATTGAATAGTTACCTTACAAATGGCCAGTGTTCTGTGGGGAGTGGAGTCATTGTCCTTAACATCTCTTGTCGAGACCTATCTGGAGTGGTGTAATTGAAGTGGAACTGCCTAGCAATCACAACCTGATCAATAGCATCAACATCATTATTCATTTTCACCATAAGGACTCAAATATTATGTATACATGAATTACATGTGTGAGAGATTGCACAGAGAGAACAAGACAGAGAAAGAGACAACTCACAGCCTTTCTAATCCTCTGAGAGACATGGAAAACTGCTCTGAGTTGATCATGGTGCAGGTGGCAGAGTATTTTGACCTCAAATCACAAAACAAATATGAATCAGTTACCCCAAAAGGTTTAAATGCACAGAAAGTAGATAAATGCAACACCTCACAAATCCAGCTTCACATCTGGAGAAAAAATAAACAAACGCACAAACACATAAAGCACTTAAAAATTCTCTCAGTAGCTAGCGAAGAACAAAATTATGTTGAAAATACTACGATCATGTTTCTGTTAATTATCATCTTTTGCCTTAAGAGAAAACAACTTGAGCATTTATAAATTATATCAATAAGTAGCTTCACTTATAATCAGAAACATCCCATAAGCTTTGTAAATATGGTACTGGCAACACAACAAAGGATGTGATTGAAGATCATTCAAAGGCCCCGTTTGTTTTGGAGTTAAATAGATGGGAGGGGATTAGTGTTGTGTTTGTTTGTAAAGTTGGGGAGAGAATTAGGATGGAGGAGGTGATATAGATGAAATTTGGAAGGAGGATTGAGATGGAAGAAGTGGAGATAGTATTAAAAAAATAATGAGGAAATTAGAAATTTTTTTATTTTTTATATATTGAGAATTTTTTTAAAAATATTAATGTTTAATTTTTTATATTTTTTTTATTATTTTATATAAAAATAATTTAACAATTTCTACACTAACAACTATCATCAAAACAAACACAATTTTACTTAATCCCCTCACTATCAATTTCCTCACTATGAATCCCCTCCATTCTACCTCTAAAAACAAACGGGGCCAAAAGGTTAACTTTCAGAGGAAATGAATGACACTTTTTTTGTTTTTAAATATTAAAAATGTAGAAAGCAAAAAATTTTAAAAAAAACAACATTCAGCAATTCAGAAAGCAGGTCTTCATATCCTCAGAACAGGACTATGGATGACAAAAGTCGGGGGGTAAATGGACATGTCAGCAATTGCAAGAAGCACAATAGTGGTTGGAAAAGTACAGATGCATAACCCTTCTTATCCAGTCACCACTACACCTCAGCACAACCACATTAAAGCCCAACCTCCACTGAGGATGGCGTTGGCCTCTTCAGAGTAGTCACCAACATTATTCAGCCTGCAATCCTAAGGCAACAAACAGGAATCTCCAAAATACATAGCAGAACAGCATCAGACTACCTTGAATGCTCCACAAACATCTGAGATTTACCATCAACACCACCATAAAACTCTCTAACCTCTTTAATAGAGACAAACATGCCACTATCATTATCTTCTAAATAAAATGACATCACCAACACACGATCTCTTAAAAATACATTTACTAATTGATTTTAGATGAACCATTACTTAGATACTGTAAACATTTTCCAAACAAGTAATTAACATATTCCAACAGATTTCTTATAGCTCCTAGTTCATTGTTTGTGATTTTTTTTGCTAATATTTCTTAGTAGCATGACCCCACACAGGCCTCCCAGGTCACCTATGCAGTTCTGTTTAGTTAGTGCAATCAAATAAAAAATTGTGACCCTACAAATGAAATATGAATGCAGCTTTATTTGGTAAGCACAATCAAACCAAATATTTTAAACGCAAATTATCGAATAAAAAGAACAAACAATAATGATTCAGAATCTTTTCTAAAACAAAAAAGCCACCTTTGACAGGGAAAAGATATATAGTGAAAGTTTGAAACACAGGCAAAATACAGCTATCATCATGTTCCAGCAAAACATATAGAAGTTTAAAAACCAAATCTATCACCAATTATAACAATAAAAAAGGAAACAAGCATATATTGATATCCATCAAATTTATTTATTCTACTTACATATTTATTTTAAATCAACAACCAAATGGAGACAAGGAGGTTAAATACCAGCAAATCCATTGGAAGAGACTCGAGCCTCGACTCAAATTCAAATACTTCAGCAGAAGGGGTTTTTGGTGTTCTCAGCAAATTATTCTTGTTAAAAATATCTGCAGCTCCAACCACAGGACTAAACTCAAACCTTTCAGGTGATAACATTGAAGGGCTCCCATGAATACCATTATTTTGAAGTACTACATCATTGCCTGTCTTAGTGGCATCCAACACTGCCACCCTTTTCTTCCCAAGATCTGTACAGGATTTGGCGGTGGATGCTTTATTGTATCGAAGCTGAGCAAGAGCACCTGGCTTCAGATACTTGTAGCTTGAGTTTCGAATCCGCCTTTTCTGTTTAGGAGTCTTCGATTGCCTCTCTTTGGGAGACACTTTCCCCATTTTATTTCCTTCGAAATCCCCTAATTTCCTTCAAATTTATCCCTTTGGTCAAATTCCCCCCCTTTCACCTTCTCCTCAACAGATATTCAGTTCCCAACCAAATAACTTAAAGAAACAACCACTATTAGGACCTGAAACGCACAAATTGAAACAAAACCCAACATAAAATCCAACAAAAATCAGATCTTTTCAGCGAAACTAACACAAGAACTTCAAAAAGTTCATAGCAATGGCATCGAAACTTAATGATTGGAGCCATTACTAAACAACACCGAGAAAATTCATCAAATCCCGTAATCAGGAATCGAAAACCCTAGGGCAGCAAATACATATGAACTGAAATCAAACAACAAAATAATCGATCTCGTGTCGAATCGAGACAAGAACAGTGCAAAAAAACAGGGTAGAAAATGAAGAAATTCAAACCTGAAATCAACAAAGCCCCGAGAAAACAGAGAGAGGTACAAGCTCCATAGCAGCAGCGAGTTCCCAAAAACCCTAGGAAATGACAGAGAGAGAGAGAGCAGGTACAAAAATGTAGAGAGAGAAATCAAGAGGGAGAGAGAGAGAGAGAGAGAGAGAGAGAGGAGGGAGGGAAAGAATGGGGGGCCTAGGGTTTGATGAGCTTTTGAATTTATGGAGATTGCCCGCCAAATTTTCGGTCTATCTATCAACAGTTACAAATAAAAACAAAGTAGTGTTTGGATGCTTATTGACAACTGAAGGGACACGTGACATGTTTGGATTGGAGCGTATTTAGGTGGGGTGGGGCCACTTTGGGAATCCTATGTGTACACACTCGTGGGGTTAGGGTACTCTGTTTACTCCTCCGGATAGAGCGGCTCATTAGATTAGATTTTTTTGTTTCATTTTTTTACTTTGATTTTAAAATTTTATAGATTTGATGAGAGAGAAAGTCATCCAGTTATGATATCGACCGTGCTAGGGAGTTCGTTTTCGAGCTCCCCCGAATCCCCCTAATCTTGATTTTTTTTTTCAGAAGCAGAGAAAGAGAAGGGAGAAGGAGGAGGAGGAGGAGGAGTGGACTGGAGGGGGCCATAATAGTGGGAGGAGGCGGAGGCGGGGCCAGAGGCGACGGCGGAGCTGCTGCGACGATCGGAGCTGGGCGACGGCGGCGACGGGCTGAGCGATCGGCAATGACGGGCTGGGCGACGATCTCTTCCCCTCTTCTTCTCTCTTTCTCTGTTCCCCTCTTCTTCTCTCTTTCTCTCCCTCTCTCTCTTCCTCTTCTGCGTTGCAGGTCGAAAATGGAAGAAGGAAAAAAAAAAAAGAAAAGAGCCAAAACGACGTCGTTTTGGCCATTGAAGAAAAAAAAAAAAAAAATCTCCAAAACGACGTCATTTTGGGGATTAGGGGGATTAGGGGGGCCAAATTCGAGCTCTCAAACATTATTCGTTATGATATATTGGATTTGAAAAACACTCAAAATATATATAAGTATATTATAAATATATTTTAAGGTTTATTTAAAATATTAATTACCTAGTATAATTTTAAAAATTATATCTCATTTTTTTAAATTTATAATCGTATAGTAAATAATTCATTTTATTACTCAATCATTAAGTGGGTGTTTAGAAAGTGGGTTTTTATGTAAGTTTTTTTAGTGGTAGGATATTACTGGATACAAAATTTTTAGTGTTTTGGAAGATAGTTGGTTTTTTTGTGGTTGGATGTGATGTTTGTGAGATAAAAAGTAAAATGATTATGAGATTGAATGTGATATTTTGTTTGGATGTGCTTTTTTTGATTTTGCAAAAAGTTTGTCTTTTAATAGAAAAAAAAAAAAAAAAAATCCCAAACCCAAGTTTCCAAACACCACCTAAGTCCTTGTTTGGTAAATATTTTGGGACTAAAAAAGCACAAACAGACAAAATAGATTATGTAGGCTAATAAGATAAAATATCACATTCAAATCATAATCGTTACTAGGACTGTGCAAAATATTGCCCAATCCGTTAAAACCTCATCAATCCGCACCGCTCTAACCGCTAACCGCGATTTAAACTTTAAAATTTATAATCCGTCAATCGAATCGAATCGTTCCATTCCACTATAGTTAATACATATATATTTTTTAACCTCTAATAAAATATCAATATAAAAATAAGTGTGAGAGAGATTTAAAGTATGAAATTTATTACAAATTAGTGGTTATATATATATGAAACATATTATGTAAAATTATTTTGTGTTATATATCTTAGTGTTATAGATTATGTAAATGTATAATAATTAGTTATAATATTCTTTAATCCGTCAATTTGTCAAAAACCACCTAAATCGCAATTTGTCAATCCGCTAATCCACCATTCGATTTGTAATTTTGCTCTCAAACCGTTCGAACCGCACCACGCACACTCCAAATCATTATACTTTTTCCCTCACAAAAATCAAAAAAGCCAAAAGACAAGAAACCAAACTAGTAGGAGTAAAAATGGCTTGCGACCCGAAACTCACTGCGGCCTAGGGTGGGCCTAACCCGTTTAGGTCCAGGCCCGGGCCCGAACCTAGTCCGAGTCCTTGAGCCATCACTCTGAAGTTTGGTTCGGCCCGATCCGTGGCCCAGTTTATCGGCCTGCTTAAGGCCCACTTAAGACTAGGTCTGAGGTTCAGTGTCTTTTTTAGTGGAAAGTAATAAAATTTTAATAGAACAAAAATTTTTTTTTTTAAAAAAAAGGTCAGGCCCGGCCAAGGCCCGAATGCCCCTGGGCCTGGGCCTAATTTTTTTTCCCCATGGACTGGCCCAGCTCGAATTTTGGTAGGAGCCCGCGAGTTCCAATATGGTCCGGGCCAGATTTACAACCCTACAAACGAGGCAATAAAAGTCCCAACACAAAAAAATTGGCTACCGTAGCCAATGCCAAACGAAACTTAAATCAATTAATAGTTCTGATAATTTCATTATTGTAGAATATGAGGATATTTAGAAATTTTATTTTTTTTGTTCATTTTATTAAATGATAAATTATGATAAAAGTGTATTTGTAATTTTTAAAATTATAAGAGATAATTTATATTTTAAACAAATGTATTTATAATTTGGGAAATGATACACCCTCAAAAAATAGAGCATTTATAGTTTTAAAAAAGCAAAAAAAAAAAAAAAAAAAAAAAAAAAAAAATTCACATTATATGAGACTCACTATTCTCTAGAGTTCCATTAGTTAATTTATTCAAAAAAATATATTCATCTTGTATATGCACATGGTGTGTTACTATTTTTATACAATTGGACCTAAAAAGAAACACATCTTGACATTTGAAACTGACTACCTGCTGCACCAATTTCCACTGTAATTCAGGTTAAATCAATAGTTAATTTAATTAATTGTTTATTAATTTAATTTATTATTTAATCAGTTAGCTAGCTCACGTCAAACCAACAGTTGATTAATAGCAATGCTTCCAAAGTAGTAACATTTTAGGCTAGAAGCATTGTGGACGGAAGTAGTGAGACAAGGGTTATAAGGAGAAAGGATTCTCTCCTTGGATCATTTCTTTGATTCCTTACTTGGTGGGTTATTGGACCTATTTTTTGGTTTAATTTTGATAATTTGAACTGTTCATTTTTTAAGATTTGTCATGCATATTATATTTGTAAAAAATCAAATCGATCGTGTACGGGAAAGAAATAAACCTTCTCGTATAATCCTGTTGATTAACTCTGCGCTCCTCTGTACATCGTCGTTTTATCACCTGAAAACACAAACGTGAGCTAGCCGGCGGGTGTGTGCCGGAAACCTCTCCGATGCCTAAGTCAGTAAGCTTGACAAATAGACAAAAGCTCTGTGTATTCAGAAAGCAAAGTTGTGTTACCTCTCCAAATGTGATGTTTGTGAGCTTTTATAGGTTTCGTGTGGCACAATCCTAGTAGGACTTTTACTTCTCTATGCAGAGTCCTCCTAGGATTCATACTCCTGAAGGACAATGCTTATCCTTCAACACCCCCCTCACTGCTTAAACCAAGTGAGATGGTTTTTATCATAGCCGAACTCCAATATAACCGAAGTAATTATGATCACGCCGAGCCACAGAGTAGACCGAACCGTCTTTAGTTCGGTTCTCCTTTTCATTACTCCTTATCTCGGTTCCTCATGTACAAAGAATGGCGTGGTTAGACCGAGCTACCGAGTAGCAAGGTTCTAACCAGTCTAACCACAATACGTCATGACCGGGCTAACTCTGAGACCGGTCTAACTTTAAAGCGTCTTCCAACCGGCCTAACTCCAAGTCGCTTCTAGACCGGAGTAACATTACATTTCTCTCGGGTCGGAGTAACTTTATACCTCTCTCAGGCCAAAGTATCTTTATGACCTTTTTACTCAGCCCTTCGTATTGTGGGCCATAATGACCCATTGCCCAGCTCGGCCCAATTTTCACATAAATTACCCTCTCAATTGCCCCTTAATTCCATCTGCGCAACATGATAGGGATTACCTGTCTATCAGCCGAGCTAAAGTTTTAAGCCTTTCCAGCCGAGCTACAACCCTTTAGCCTTTCCAGGCGAGCTAAAAACTCTTAAGCTTTTCCAGCCAAGCTAATTTCACACCGAGCTCTGCTTATCCGGTCAAAACGTCTCTTCAATCACAGCAACTGAATCGCTTCTTATTCCAAGGACACGCGGCATGCTCTCATTGGCTGAAGGCAGCTGTCCCGCCGTCTTCGTACCTCGTGTTTTTTGAACAGTTCCCGCCTTTGTCCCTTCTCTTTTCACAAAACAAACTCTTTCACTCTCTTTTGAATCACTCACACCACTATTCATTTCCTTCTCTCTCTTTTCGAGCCTCCATTGTTCTTCCAACTTTGCAACTATGAAGCTCGTGTCCGTGGCTGCTTTCTACTTCCCTTTCCTTCCTCTTATCTTGGTAAGTAACACAAATCTGTTCTCTTTTTGTTTGTTTTCGTCTTTGTTCTGATTCATAGCATATTGTTTGTGTTTTTGCAAAACGCATTTTCTTGCTTTACCTTGCGTTTTCTAGGAAAAACTTCATAAGATCCTCATGAACTTCATGAAGTAATCTATAAAACAGTGTTTGATCCACAATTACCATAAAACCGAACTAAAAAGTAGTTTGTAGTCAATGTCCTTCTATCAGACTTTAACCGAACTAGCACTCTATGTTGGTACTAGTAGTTTCAGTAAGTCAAAACCACCTCTTGATAAACCTTAGCCGAGGTAAACGAACCGAACTAAGTCCGAACGTAGCATACTGAAACCTTATCTTTCGACCAAGCTAGGTCTTTGGGGCTAAGCCAGCTTTCTAAGTTTTTAGACCGAACTCAGAAAGCTGCCCCTAGAGGCTTAACCGATCTGACTGAGCCTTCTCTTTAACCAAGATAACGAATCGCTTTGCCAAGACTGAGCTATCGAACCGCCTGCTTAATCCAAGCTACTAAGCATCTTGTTGAAACCGAGACAACCTGTAGCATCCCACACACCCGAAATAGGACTCCTATTCTTGCTTTTATTTTGTAGCACGGTCCAATGACCTGTGCTTAACCCCTTTGTTTTCCACTTTGCAGACTTAGGTTACCCAGGCACTCCACTGCGCGCCCAACCGAGCTACTGAGCACAATTTTGCGACCGAACTA